TTATGCGAAACGCGCAATCAACTCAATTGTGCGATTATTATGGGACATGTGTGATGTGTGCAGGTCAACCCAATTCCGATTTCGACAATTGTACCTGGATTACGAACATTTCCTTCTCATTGACCTCTTTGTCTACGTCGCCTGAGTCACCATTGTGCGTGTTGGTTTGGTCATCATTATTGTCATCGTCACGAGAATGACCTGGTTGGTTCGAACAACCCGAGGTTTGATCATCAGCGCCCCGAGGATATCCAGTATGTGTAAATGAACTAGGGCCTGCTTGATGTGAATATGGGGCCTCGTGGGAAAATGCAGAACTACCAACACCAAAAGAACTCAGAAATACACCTTGGGACGCCATCATTTGCGTGAAGCTTTGTTGCACCGTCCCCGGAATCTCAACATTTACTCGCTTCTCCAACTCCACGTAAATGTTGGGATTTCTTTGTTCTTCAATCAGCTCTAAGATATCCTCATTGGATTCAATTTTCATCTTCACAACTCGTTCTCTTCCATCAAATACTGCCCACAATATATACTCAAAATTACAAGGATTGGCCTTCAATAAGGCTTGAACACGAGAAACTACTTCAGAATACATTTTTCGGCCGTAATTTATTCTCATCAGCTCTGCCACTCCACCAAGATATGAATCCTCGAACGAACCACCAAAGTGCACCAATACTCTAACACGGTTGCTAGCCATTCAAATAAGTGAACAACAAAAAGAACTAAAAAAAAACAGAAAAATGCAGTAGATGAATGGTGCAGGCCTTAAATTGTTAGAGATCGCTGTTTTTTTGCCTGCATGATGAATGCAGAGACCAAATCCTCACCTGTGAAAAAGCAGTCAATTAATGAGGTGCGCAACTTATGCGAAAGATCTGCGAACGAATTCCGAATAGTCGTAAAATTGCCAGGTCGATATGGCCCTGCGAAAAAATGTCGCATAATCGTAAAAAAAAAAAAAATGCTTTATTCGATTTGGTTATGTGATTCTTAAATATGCCAGCGAAAAAATGTCACATAATTGTCTATTATCCGGAGGATATATGCGAAATTGTTTCGCATATTAGTAAATTATGCGATTGACTTGGATATGCAATTACCAGAAAATGCGTATTCAACAAACTATGCGAATTAGATGCGAAATATTTTCGCAGTCATAAATTTGCAAGGTTGATATAGCCCTGCGATAAGAAGGCGCATAATCATCGTAAATTATGTTGCAATCGATTTGTATATGCGATTATTAAAAATGCGAAAGATGTTCGCACATTTCTAAATTATGCGTTTGATGTAGATATGCGATTAAAACAATGCGAAATGTTTACGCATTGTCATAAATTATGTGGCCGATTGGATATGCGCTGGTTCATTTGGACATGCGAGTGTAATATTGCATAACATTTCATGAGTTTTAGGGTGTAAAAGAAATTATTTGATAGGGCAATGTGTAAAAGAAAAAATAAATTTATAATGAGGTGAAAAAGATTTTAATCCTTATTCTAATTTGTGTTCCAACACAAGTTTCGCTTTAAACTTAAACGTATATCTTTCAAAGGACGAAAAGAAGAGGATTGGGAATGCATAATTGACACGAGTACCCTTATGTATTAAGGAAAGAAAAAGAGGGAAAACGGCATAATTGATGTCATATCAACTCTCATACAATATTATATTTGTACCTTTAAAAAAACCATAGATGTTCACCTTTTTGACCAATAGAGAATAGACAAAACATCCCCCAAATTTAAAAATAAAGTTAAAATATAATATATTACTTTCACAACAACATAATGAATGATTTGAATCGTGAAACTTTTTTTTTTTTTTTTTTTT